TCGAGGAACTTCAGCTATCCCTGATGAAGTCTGCTGGGGAGCAAATTCTTAACTGCTTCCGGAAAAAGTGCCCAAATATCGACCTGGCTTTCCTCGATGAATTTGACGATGAGGAGGTAGAGGTGCTCGAGAGGGCGCCAGACGCCGAAGGGGCTGAGCAGGCACCAAGGGATGGAGCTGCGCAATGAATACTGTTCTTTTTTTTTTTCTTTGTAATTCTTAGAGGGCCATCAAGCCAAAACATTAAATTTTGTATTGTAACGGCTATGAGGTCGAGACTCTTCATTTATTTATATATATATATATGTATTTTTCTCTATACAGATGCTTGTTTTGCGTGTGGATGCCGTAGAAATACTTGAAATTTTCTGAAAATTTTTCTTAGAGGGCCATCAAGCCAAAACATTAAATTTTGTATTGTAACGGCTATGAGGTCGAGACTCTTCATTTATTTATATATATATATATATATGTATTTTTCTCTATACAGATGCTTGTTTTGCGTGTGGATGCCGTAGAAATACTTGAAATTTTCTAAAAATTTTTGGTTAAGTATGGTTAGCCAAGACTTACCAAACTTTGCTACCTTTAAAGGCCTTGGGGCGGCCTTATTTGGCCTTACTACCCCCTCGTCGAAGATAGTCTTTAACTTATCTTTGACGCAAGATTGGTCGACATATAATGGTCGACGTGGAAAGTAGATTCTCAAATATCTAGATCCCAGTCGAGCGATAAAATTCACACGAGTAGACTAAAATGAGTAGAAAATTCATACGAACTTTTATTTGCGTAGAATTTACACGTTGACTTTTTAGTCTGCAAAAATACACTAGAAAAATGGAGCAAAAATTTCTAAGTGTAACCTTTAAGTCGACCGTTATCGCCGCTATTGGTAGTAGATTTTGAGTTGGTCTGCATTCTAAGTGTGCTTGATGCCTCGACCATTAACTTCGGCGAGTTGATAGGATCCATTAGCCACAACCTCATTTATCCTGTAAGGTCCTTCCCAAGTTGGGCCCAGTACCCTAGAGTTTTTGGGCTTAGTGTTTGGGGTTACTACTCGCAAGATGAGGTCTCCCACTTTAAATCGTTTATGCTTGACCTTTATGTTGTAGTACCTGACTGTTCTGGCTTGGTACGAGGCGAGCCTTAGTTGCGCGTCTGTGCACCTCTCTTCTAGAAGGTCGAGCTCTAACCCTATTCACTCGGCGTTCTTATCTTCTTCATACCGTATCACTCGGTTGGTGGGAATGGATATCTCGACTGGGAGAACCGCTTCCACCCCATAAGCCATCGAGAACGGTGTTTCCCCTGTGGTCGTCCTACTGGTATTCCTGTAGGCCCACAAGACCTTTGGTAGCTCATCTGCCCACTTGCCCTTGTAGTTATCAAGTCGACGCTTCAGCATGACTTTGCTAATCTTATTGACCGCCTCGACTTGTTCGTTGGACTGGGATATACAACCAAGGAAAAGTTCTTATAGATACCTAGCAATTTGCAGAACTGGTTGGTGTTATCATTGTTGAACAGCTTTCCGTTATCTGACACGAGAGAATACGGTACACCAAACCGACAGACTATGTTATTCCATATAAAGTTTGTGCATTTCTCCTCTGATATCGTTGTTAAAGGCTCGGCTTCAACCCACTTCGTGAAGTAGTCGACTACTACAATTGCGGGCTTGTATCCCCCAGGGGTCTTGTGCAATGGGCCGATGAGATCATTCCCCCATTTTGTAAATGGCCAAGGGGAGACTATCGATGTTAGGTCCTCTGAATGTTGTCGAGGGATGGGGGTGTACCTTTGGCAGCCTTCACATTTCGTTGCATATTTGGCTGCGTCCTTCTTGAGGTTGGGCCAGTAATATCCCTGCCTTAGCACCTTATAGGCCAGGGATTGTCCCCCTGCGTGGTTTCCACATATCTCATCGTGTACCTCTGAGAGGACCTTCTTTGCTTCCTCTTCATCAAGACACCAGAGCAAAGGCGTCGAGAACCCCTTGCGATAAAGGATATCGTCATGCATGGTGAATCTCGATGCCTGGTACCTCAACCTTTTTGCCTGTTGCTTGTCCTCCGGGAGCTCGCCGTCGAGCAAATACTTGACGATGGGGTCCTTCTAGCTCAACTGGTGGCTCAGTGATAGGACTTCAGGTTTTCCCTCAGTGGAGGGAGCTTTCAAAACCTCCACAAGTACTAGCCTAAGCAGCTCGGCGTCCTTCGAGGTGGCCAACCTAGCAAGGGCGTTGGCGTTGTTATTTTCTGCCCTTGGCACTTGTTGTATGTCGTAGGCTGAAAGCTTCTCCAATGCCTCTTTAACCTTCTTAAGATAGGCAGCCATCTTCTCATCCCTGATCTGATACTGACCTTTCACCTAATTCATGACTAACTGTGAATCGCTGAAGATGTCTATGGCTCCCGCTTTTAGGTGCTCTGCCAACCTGAGTCCGGCCAGCAACGCCTCGTACTCTGCTTTATTGTTGGACGCAGGGAACTCGAATCTAACGGCTGAGGTTATCTTGTGGCCCTCCGGGGTGTGCAGCACCAACCCTGCACCACTGCCGTTGTCGTTAGAGCTCCCGTTGACATAGAGCTTCTAAGGCTTGGCCCTTGATGGCCACCCATGGCTTGTTGTCGATGTCGAATTGGCTGAGCTCTATAGACCACTTAAGAAGTCTCTAGGAAGCGTCGGGCTTTTACAATACCTGCTTGAGAGGGTGGTTCGTCAAGACCTGAATACTGTGGGCCTGGAAGTAGTGGCGCAGCTTCCTCGACGTAATCACTAACGTGAGGATGAGCTTTTCCATCTGCAGATATCTTGTCTCGGCATTAAGGAGGCGCTTGCTGGTGTAATACATAGGCAGCTACATCTTCTCCTCTTCGCAGACCAACATCGAACTAACAGCGTGTTCAAAGACCGCCAGATACAGGCTCAGCACCTCCCCGTCTGTAGGCTTGGACAGTAGGGGCGGCTTCCCAAGGTGCTCCTTTAATTGCTGGAATGCATGTTCGCACTCCTCTGTCCACTGAAACGGCTTGCTCCCTCTCAGGGTATCGAAGAACGGTATGCATTTATCTATAGATTTTGAAATGAATCTGTTGAGTGCAACAATGCAACCCGTTAGCTTCTGAACTTCCTTCGATTTCCGTGGTGATTTCATGTCGAGGAGCGCCTACACCTTCTCTGGATTGGCTTCAATTTCTCGACTGCTCACCATAAAACCTAGGAATTTTTTTGACTTAACCTCGAACGCATACTTAAGGGGGTTCAACTTCATCCTGTACTTCCGCAGTACGTCAAACATTCCCCTGAGGTCCTCCACATGATCTTTAGACCTCCCGCTCTTCACCAACATGTCGTCCACATATACCTTCATGGTTTTACCTATCTGGTCCGCGAACATCTTATTAACCAGGTGCTGATATGTTGCTACTGCGTTTTTAAGGCCAAAAGGCATGACCTTGTAGCAATACAGGCCCCTGTCAGTGATTAAAGATGTGTGTTCCTCGTCGCGGTGGAACATCGGCATCTGGTTGTAGCCAGAATAGGCGTCTATAAAACTTAGAAGTTCATGCCCCGCTGTGGCGTCGACCAGCTGATCTATCCTTGGGAGTGAAAAGTTGTCCTTCGGGCAGGCTTTATTTAAGTCACTGAAGTCGACGCAGGTTCGTCACTTCCCGTTAGGCTTCAACACCAACACAGGGTTTGATACCCACTCGGGGTATAAAACTACCCGGATGAAGTCATTTTTTATTAGTTTGTTGACCTCCTCCCGTAGAGCTGCGTACTTCTCGGCATTCATCGGTCGACGCTTTTACCTCTTAGGGGGACACTTTTCATCTATATTGAGCTTGTGGCTCATTATGTTCGGACTGATCCCCTCCATGTCTTCGTGGGTCCAAGCAAACACGTCAAGGTTGCCCCTGAGGAATGCTACCAGTTCTTCCCGATTACGCTCTTCGAGTTATGAGCCTATCCTCAATTTCCTTGTAGGCTCATTCTCGTCGATGGGGACCTCCATCAATTCCTCAACTATCCCGGTCCCCGTTTCTCCATCTGAGAGTCGAGGGTCTAGGTCGACCTCCTCTGCTCTGGTCGCCACCATTCTCATCTCTCTTCTAGTATGCCCTGGCTTGGCGTAGTGGTGGACTGTCTCTGTGTACGTGAGCCTCGACACGTACTGGTTCCCTCTGACCGTTCCAACTCCACTGGGGGTCAGAAACTTCATTGTTTAGTGATAGATCGACATGACCACTTTTAAAGCCTTCAGCGTCGGTCGCCCTATGACCGCGTTATATTGGTCGTCTCCCTTCACCACTAAGAACCGTGACATAACAGTTGAGGTGTGTGGTCGGTCGCCAATTGTCATTGGCAATTCTATCATTCCCTCGGGGACGATGCAATCCCCTGTGAAGCCATACAATGGTTGTAGGCTATTCTGCAGTCTCGCCCGGGGGATTCCCATCTTGTCGAGGCAATCAGCGTACAAAATGTCCACCGAGCTGTTGTTGTCCACCAGGATGCGGTAGATCGTATGGTTGCCAATCATGGCCTCCACCACCAGAGCGTCGCTTTGGGGGAAATGCACCCCGCTTGCATCCGCTTTTGAAAATGTTATCTTGGCATCTTCAAACCTGGCGGCCTTTGACTCCCTTCCAAACACACTCATAATCCTCCGGTTGAATTTTTCCTTCGCCTCTCTCGTGTATTCTTTCTGTGCACGGCGAGAGGTGCCGCCAAGGTAGGGCCTTCCAAAGATCATCCTTATCACGCCGACGGGCTCAGGGGGTTGGTCTTGCCTTTGATCCTCCCGTCGGTCGTGGTTCCTCCGATTATTGTTGCCACGTCGGTCAGCTCGGTATTCGCCGAGGCCCCGTTCATTTCGCATATTCGAGTTTAAAATTTGAGTTTTGCTACAGTAAAAAGCTCTCAGAAACAATCACATCTAACTTTTTTACTACAGTAAAAAGCTCTCACAAAAAGTCACATCTCAACTCGAATCAACGAACTAAACGGGCCTTGAGCCTCTCTTCACGGATCAACCTCTCGACCTCATCCCTTTGGTCGAAACACTCGCTGGCTGTGTGTCCACTTTCACCGTGAAACCTGTAATACTTGTTTTGACTTCTCTGCACTAGGTCAGACTTCAGCGGCAGTGGACGACGCAGTACCTGGAGGTGACTGATCTCATGATAGACATCCTCAATCCCCATGGTTAATGGGGTGTAGGCGTCATACCTTTGTGGCTTGGCCCGCTTGGTGTCCCCCTGCCCAGTCGAGGCGTTGCCGCCCCTATTGTTTAGGGCCGGGTTATACCTTGGCTTAGCCAGCACCTGAGGGTTACCTCGGCGTTTCTTACCATTATTTTGCTGGCTCGGCTGTCCCACCTCTTCTTTGGTGGGAACCACCACTTTGCTCTTCAAGGCCTTTTTGGCCTCTTCTGCGTTAATGAATCCTTGGGCCCTTGCCAGGAATTCTTGGTAGGTTTGGGGTGGCCTCCAGTCAAGGTCTGTGCTGTATGGGATGTCCTCCTTCATGCTTGACAAGGCCCCCATCAAGGCTACCTCATCGGAGATCCCTTCGGTGGCAGCCACTTGCTCCCCAAACCGGGCTATCCAATCTTTTAGGGACTCGTTTGGTCCCTGATACACCCTTGAGAGGTTCTGCTTTGGTGGGATGTACTTCTTAACACCTATGAACTGAGTCAGGAAGGCATTCTTCAAGTCATCCCAGCTGGCTATTGAGTTCGACTTTAGGGACCTGAACCATCTCCTGGCAGAGTCAGAGAGATGTTTCTGAACGCAGAGCACATGACCTCCTCGGGATACCCGCGTAGGACCATGTGCTCTGTGTAGACTTCCAGGTGGTCGTCTGGGTCACTCATTCCGTCGTACAATGGGATAGGCGGCGGCTTGTACTTATCGGGCAGCGGCACCCGAATGATGTTCTCTATGAAGGGGTGGTCGTGAGACGTGTACATCTTGGCGTCGACATTTACAGTCTCGGCCACCTTCCCCACATCTTGTTCGAAGTTGTTCAGCCGACTCCATATCTGCTTTTCAAGTTTAGCCATTTTCTCGGCCGCAAGCTCTTCTTTCTTGGACTGCTGCACGTCGAGTGTTCAGCCGTTCTCTCAGCTCTTCCACGCGTACGGACGAGGATTCTACTGGGACCGCGTCCCTCCTTCTCATGTTCTTCTGCAGTCGAGGGGGTATCCCTCGGTCATTTTTTGCTTCGACCGCGGCCCTCTCCTGGGCTCTCCTCCTGGCAGCTCGTTGCCTACTCCCCACAAATCTATTTGACCTGGCTGGGCGGGGGTTGTTGGCCCCACTGTCACCGACCCCCTCAGCGTCACCACGTCAGTCACCAACCACTTGGTTCCATTCACCGGGTTCATCGGCGCGTCCTCTAGCGGTGGCATCGAGTCTGGCCTTTGTTCCTGTCCGGCGAGGGTCGTGGCCATCCTTTCTACGGCCACAGCAAGTGTTTCTAGCTGCCTTTGGAGCTGGTCAAGGCGGGTTGGGGGGTTTCCAGGAGCCTGTGGCTGCGCCCTATGGTTGGGCCGTGCCTTTGTGGGTTCCTGGCCACCATTGGGTGGGTTCGCTGGATTCCTCCCTCCGTGGGCTGAGTTCTAAACTTCTTGGCTTTTTTGGGTTGTCGTCATGCTGTGGGTCTTTCTCAGAGCCATACTTACAGTTGGATTGATTTCTTGGGTTCCTCAGCCCTCCTTCTAGCGCCAATTGTTTATGGTGGATTTTAATCAACAAGAAATTATAACTCTTCGAGAACACTCGCACTAATCTCTCACGTATTAGTCGGGGATTAATGGTGTTGAATAAGTAAATGAGACAGGAGTTTATAGTGGTTTGGCTAAAATTCTTTGCCTACATCCACTTGTGCATGCACTAATATGTTGTAGATTACAAGTTCTGTAGAAGTCTCTAAGTGAGAGTGTAAAAAACTTAATGAACTTTTATGGCTCTATTTATAGGCCTTATACATGTGAGAAACCCCCTGCACTTCCCGAGTAGATCATCCTCTATCCCTTAATTTGGAGATTTGGTAGCTGGATTTCCCTGATTACTGCTTCCCGGTCAGGTTAACCACTCTTTACCCAATGCCTGATTTCCTGACTCTAACAGTGGCGGTAAGTGATACAGTGTATCTTCCCCAGGACTGACAGCAAATTTGACCGGGATTGATGTCTCGACGTCGGGTCCTCATTACATGGGATGGGCCTTCGACGCTCGTCAACGCACGTGACCTCTCGACGTCTAAAGGGCATTCTGACACACTGGTTCCCTAGGCGTCAGCGACCGATCCTTAATAGGGAGTCCTCGGCGCTTGTCACCCAGAGAATAGGTCGATCCCTCGACCGTGGTGTAACATATATAACTATGTCATCATTCAATAAAGTACATATCTGCTAACCCCTCGAGTTTTTAACTCTAGAGATGAAACTCCAAGTTCGACAGTGAAGGATCATGAGCCAGGTGTGGTCTCGTTGTCAAATGGGGTTGGGTTTTGGTGAGGTGAAGGAGGGGGTTGTCGGCTTTTTGACCATTTATTCTGGGCGCGTTGTATTCCCGGTGGCTATGCAATTCTTAGGGTTCAACCCCCTCATCAAGGTATAGTTGGGTGCGGTGGCATTTGTGTGTGGGTGGTCGACGTCTGTGGTGATTTTCGTCGTCGTGAGATGCATGGGCCTCTAGATGGGATGCTCCTTGAGCGATTTTGGTATGTGCGATCTGGTGTCTCTTTTCTGGGGGCACGTGTCAAGTAGTGGTTGGCAATATGATGCCCCGTCTACTGTGGTTTGACTTCTCGTAGCTTTGTGCTTGGCCCCTTTCGTAGCATGGTTGGCTTATCTTCGATGGTTATTCCCTAGTTGCTAGGATTTCGTTTTCGTTTTGTTGTAGATGGTAGTGTCGAATAATGAAGATGTTTGTTTCTACCTTGTAGGTTCCGTGTGTATAATTTTGTGTTTGTTTTAAGTTTGTAATAATAGAGGTGATCTCTCCACATTTTGAGTTTATTCGTGAGATATGTGTTATGTTATTGCTTTGATTCCTTTGAAAATGTGTTTGTACAGAGTTTCTCTTGGCCTCACTATTATTGGTTACTTGCTCTCAATCAAGGAGTCCATTGATTGTAGAAATCTTGTCAAAACGAGCTATGCATGCTCGATTACTGGTAGGCTGAGAAACTTTCATGTTGTTAGGCCTCGGTCTAAGTCCTTCCTTCGAAGCTTCATTAGATTTTACTGATATATCTGGTATCAATAGAGAGGCTTTTTTTCCCGTGTGCTATGAAATCATTCGTATTAGTGTTTGTATATTTTGTTTAGTTGAATATAATTTCCCCTTAGTAGAACGGTTAGACCGGCCTCAAGAAGCCAACATCAATTAACTACCGTCGGATTTGCAGTACAACATTTTTAATCCAATCCAACCCGATAGAAAAACAATGACATATGAATATGTAATGCTGGTAAAATACATTTGATCTACTTTCATTGGCTCAAAACACCATTTTAATGTGTGCCTTGTCCATGTAATATTTATATCACATGAACTATTTTGAGTTTCTGACATTGATACTAATGGAAAAAAAGGATCTGCAGGTGTACTTCATATCCCCTAGTGTAACGATCCGACTTACCAAGTCGTTACTTAACATGACTTATTACGGAAAACGTGTTTAACTTTTAACAAATTCTTAGTTACATACTTAATTCAAGATAATCATTTTTCCATCGTAAAAGTTGCAAGTTAACTTCAATAGTTCGGAGCGTAAATTAAGGACTATAACATCGTAAAGTTATATTAATTGAAACACAAACCATTTGAAAATTCTTAATGTAACTTAATACAAACATAATCTAATGGAGTCTTCGTGAACATAATTATAGAAACATAATTATCTAGTCATAATATAAAACTATATTAACTATAAGCAGAAATTATTGCACGGTGGTATCCACACCCTGTCCTCTACCGCACACGTTCTCCATTGCAAAGTTCATCAATAATTAACTGACTTTTTACCTATAACATAAACAAACCCAGTGAGCGAAAGCTCAGTTTCCTCACAATACATGCTATAGGCGACTGTTTGAACTTACCTTGTCACAGTTACTCATAGGAAAGTTCTTCTCATAACAATAATCCTCGTAATACTATATCAGTAACAATAACCCAACAATACTGATATAATAATTAGCATACGGTACTACCATTTCGTTACTACTTCAAAAATTTGCCCAATCTAATAGTCTATTCTTTTTGTCATTATATCATTGACTAAAAGTCCATAACTTCTATCACATGATACTCTACACGTGTACAACTATTTCTGATTAATAATACTATCTAGACATACTATTCACATAAACGTAACGGGTAATTCCTAAAAAAGACGGCGACATAAAAGCATCAGTCATGTTAACTACAAAGAATAAGACCAAACAACATTTTTAGACAGAATTATCTTTCTAAGTAATTTTTTGAGAAAGGCGCGAAGAGTGTTAGATGGACTATTTAAGTTTCAGTCTCCTTACATAGAACTTACTTATACAGTACATATCCACACAACTCCAGACCACGTTACGCTACGAATACGGAGAACTTAAGTGTGCACTATTCATACATACAACACTATTCACTTATACAATACTATTCACGTATACGGTATGATCCATAGATACTATCCATGTTACTACTCACTTATACATTTCTATCCTCATTTATGGGTACTATCTACATAGTCAACTACTATTTACGTATACAGATACTATTTACGTATACGTGTACTTGGGCATTATAACAAGTCAGACTAAACCAAATGGAATTGGATAATTTATTGTTTCGTTTTTATAACACCTCATTAAATTGTTATATGCACTAAATTTATACATTTAAAAAAAAAAAAAAAAACTTGCACAGGTCTTGAAAAAAATATATCTCAGTTTAAACCAGTTTTACTCGGAAGTTACGATTACTTTTTCCTTTGGTATAATGTAACATTGTTATGGAATAGATATCGAACATGAACCATACCCATGAGAAACCGCCCAAGCAAATAAGATAAAGGCAAAGTACGATGTAAATTACGCGGCCAATAGCAGAGTCAGCTCTCTGCGCCTTATCCATCCGTCAAAACAAAATGTGGGCCATGGCCTTTCTCATGCTCACACGATCTTATTCTGCTTATCTCATTCAAATATTTCGTTATATTTGAAATTGACATACGTCTTAAATGTTGTCCGTGTGTCCCAAGCCCAACTGTTCTCAATATATTTCATTACAAATAGTGAAAGGACGTGACTACAGTATCAGACATAGAGATCTAGAGAACGTTTGGTTGGAGGATTCAAATCATGTGATTCGAATTATTTTTTATTTACGTAAATTTTTTGTGAGAAAAAATGCTGTAGCGAACTACGAATCATGATTCGAATCAGAGAACGAATCCCGCTACCAAACATCCCCCTAGTATTGATATCAATTTTTTTTTAAGCCGTTAGATTCATAGCCAACGGTCTCAAATCATGGTTTCATGGAAATAAAAACAAGCATAACAACATTTTATAATAATTTTTTTCTAATCAAATTAATAATCACAAAAAAATGAAAAATACAAAAAAAAGTGGGGCCTAACAGAAGAACCATCTCTCGCCGCCGGCCACCTCTACACACTCGTCGTCGCGTGTCTGACAACACCGTCCTCACCAAATGACTCTCTGTCGCCGATCTATAGAATTTAACTGTCTATTTGTCGAATCTCGTTCAAAATTGCCACAGCCTCAAGTCGTGACCCACCATTTTTGTGCCTTTGTAGGGGTTCATCGAATTCTCCAATCCAAACAATCCGCATAATCTAATCTATCAGATTAGATTAGACTGAAAGAATTTTAGATTGGTAACAGATTTAATTACAAATTAAGTATTTCTCAATCCGCATAATCAGTTAATTTAAACTATATATCATATATATACATATTTATATTTATATATATATATATATTTAGTAACATAGTATTTTCTATTACATAATACATATATATAATTTAAA